AGAGAGACAGAGACATTTGAAAATCTCGAGGAAATTAAATAAATTGCTTGCTCGTTAACCTCTCTGGTTTACAAATTCAGTGGGTCAATGGTTGGTCAAGCCCTGACGACGATCGCTCCCCATTAGCATTAATCATAATTCTCCATTAATCTTGCTTAAGACTCGTATTAATCTTAATTCGAAGAGAAATATGCGACAAAAGCGTCGCATTGTTACGCATACAAGTGCTCGTCATCTCCATTTCTTCAACGATTGTGTATGTGACGACGGCGCGATAGCCTGGTATGCCCGTTTAGCGACGTCGAAACCCCATACTCGGCTTCCAGTGTCGACTCGTTAATAATTGGCTTCGTAAAGCGCGGAATATGCACATGATCCATGACGCCGTACATCGGGGCACATTGTCACGTTTTACAAGGGAGTTTTGATTTGGAATGTACGAGCGAGCAGACCGCCTCCATCAATGTAAGGCACGTTATTCATAAAGTGCCTGAGATGTTCAGCCGTTTTGGGAGATCGAGAGTCTCGATATCCGGTCCGAGGTCGAGAAATTGTAGTTTGATTGTAGTTTGGAAGAAAGCGGCTCGTTCGGTCTCGCTATTTTTCCCCGTCAAAAAGGAAAGTACACATACAAATAAGACGAGGGAGAGCCGGTTGGGAGGAGAGTCGAGCAGTAATCGCAGTTTTTGATTAATTAACGGAAACTCCTCCTTTCTCCACCATCGTCATCACCACCGTCACCATCACCACCATCATCTACCACCCATCGCACCTCCCCCACAATTCCCCACTTTTCAACTTCGCATAATCACACTCCGTCTCTCTCCCAATAACTGAGACGCGCTCGCTCTGTAGTCGTGGATTGCAGCGGAAGAGGGAAAGGGGCGGTTAGATGGCGATGGGAGGTGAGGAGAGGAGGACAGTGATGCTTATCCGCTGAGTCGGTGGGAACGGCGTTGCGCTGACTCGACGTCGGATAAGACCCACGCGCCTCTCATTATTTCGTGCTTCTATCAGCCCGAGCTGTCTTCTACCCTCCCTCCCCAACCATCCACCATCCATTCTCACTCTCCCTCTCTCTCTCTCTCTCTCTCTCTCTCTCTCTCTCTCTCTCTCTCTCACACACACGCGCGCGCGCGCACACACATATATACTCTCTCGGGCTATCATGTAGGCTTCGTCCTTCGCCATCACCAAAAGCGTGTTGCGTGGGACTCCGGTCGTGTTTTTCAACTCCTTCATGGGAAATTAAAAGAAGAAGGTGCTGGCAAATTGTACACCTTACTGTCGCCTACTCGTTCTATTTAATCACAATGTCTTGTTTTAATACAACACGGCACATCTTCACGGCCTTAATTCACAATCCCATCGATAAGAGCCATTACAATTGCATCGATATTAGTGTAGATACCATCGGCACTCCCAATGGAATTCACGACGACTTTTTATAAAAATCGTAAATCCTTTCGCAGCTTCCTCCGACTCGATTTAACGCGAGTAATTGGAACGAGGCAGCTTGTTGGCAGTATGAGTAATTAGATTAGCAGAGTATTGATTATGGGGCTCGAAGTATAAGTGGCCTGCCGAAGTGCGAGCATAGATAATGACACTTTTTTTCCCTGTTAATTGAATAATCAGTTTAAAGATTGCGCGAAAATATTCAGCACGACGAGGCAAATATAGAACATCTTAATTGCACCATTTTAACTAACATGGGTATTATACGCGAGCATTTATCAATCTCGCGCATCCCATTCCCTCGCGGCCCATCCTCGGCGCTGCATTATAAAATTATTATTCAATTAACGATCGAGGAAACGAGACTCGCATAAAAATGATCGCGGCGAGAGATCCGACTGTCGTCACATCCCGTTCCCCGGTTTTTCCTCTTTACGCGTCTGTCTGCGATCCACTCCCCGTCTCTCACCAAAATGCAACAAGGGCCCTTTTATAAATGGGCACACAATGAACGTGCGAAACTCTCATCGCCGCTGTCGGCGCGATCGTAAAGCGATCTTCGCGCGAGACGACGCACGCCTGTCTCGAACAATGAGTAAGAGAGAGAGAGAGAGAGAGAGAGAGAGAGAGAGAGAGAGAGGCGGGAGAATGGAGGAAGAGAAGCGAAGGCTTTCCTACTCTACGAATGAACATGCGAACGATAAGGAGAAAATAAGGAGAAGAGTCCATCCTCGAATACCACGCATCCTTTTAATTACATTTATTTTTATTTTTTTTATATTTTTTTGTTTGTTTCTTTGTTTATTATTGTTTTTTCTTTGTTTTTTGTTTTGTTTTGTTTTGTTTTAACATTTAAATGCTAGGATAAAAGCACTTGCTTGTTAGCGACTTTATAGCGAGACTGATTTACGGGATGCACGACGATGCGCGTTTACCACTGACGCGTCACTTTGCTTAATCGAGAATGTTTGTATATTTGTAATTAACGATGTTTTTACGTTGTTTTGTTTTTTCTTTCAACATTTTTTTTTTTGTTTTTTTGTTTTTTTGTTTTTTTGTTTTTTGTTTTTTTTGTTTTTTTGTTTTTTTGTTTTTTTGTTTTTTTGTTTTTTTGTTTTTTTGTTTTTTTGTTTTTTTGTTTTTTTGTTTTTTTGTTTTTTTGTTTTTTTGTTTTTTTGTTTTTTTGTTTTTTTGTTTTTTTGTTTTTTTGTTTTTTTGTTTTTTTGTTTTTTTGTTTTTTGTTTTTTGTTTTTTTGTTTTTTGTTTTTAGGGATTAATATAATACGCCGCGACGGACTGATTCGCGCTCGAGCGCGTAAAACTCGTAATGATCAATGTTTTGCAATTTTCTTTATTTTGATTTTATGACATGCATCCATCGTCCCTCCGGCACTGAAACGGTATTATTAGCTTAATTAAAAATCTGCAGGATAAATGTTGTATTTATCGCATTAAAAAAAACGCACTTTCATCTTGAATGACAATTGAAATATAATGCAATTTTTAATAACACTATAGTGTTTTTAATTTAATTAAAGCATATAATCGCTCGTAGTGCCGATTAAAAATTGGACCGTGAATTTTTTTTTTTTTATTTTTTTTTTGTATTTATTTTTTTTTATTTTTTTTTTTTGTTTTATTATTATATATATAAATAAATAGAAAAACTTTCGTTTGCATTTGGAATGTCTAAGGCATCGATACGAATTAATCAACAAGGGCACTACGCAGAGATAAAACTCTCATTTTAAGCGTGAAACGTGTAATTATGGTTATCATAAAAGTTATCTATAATTTTGCTGATAAATGCGACTGGAAGTGGCATATGTATTTTAAGCAGGAGACACTTAAATAGCAATTCGGTATAGGTGAGGCGTTACCGCTATTATTCAAAAAGTCGGCTAGAT